TGGGACTAAAAGCCCTTGGGTTTCCTCACAGAGGAGTTCTCAGAGATCCCATGGTATCCAGTGGGGTGCAGGTGGGGTGGGGACCAGGTCATCAGAGATGATGAGGGTGGAGTGAGTCAGGAGCCTCAGGGTGCATCTTGCCCTGGCTCTGTGCAGTGTGTCCCCCCACCCCCTTCTCTCTCTCTCTCTCTCTGTTTTTTTGGGTGTGTCTCTCCCTATTCCCAGACCTCTGGAACACTCTTGAAACTCTTTCACCATTTTTTTTTAAACTGTTGTTGAAGTATGAAACTCTTACAGAATAGTCCTAAGCCCTGGCTCTGTGCTCCACCCAATGCATGATGCTGGTTTTGCCACTTTCACACCTACAGGGGTTTGTGCTGCGCTCTTTCCACAGGCACCTCTGCTGTCTGGCCTCTGTCCTCCTCCTGTCTGTGGGCGTCATTTACACCACCACGTGTGCCTGAGCTTCCCCTGTCTCACTCCTGCGCAGCATTCTGTCATGTCACCCCACCACTCTCCTGTTATTCAGTCCTCTGTCCTGTTGTTGATGGGCATCTGGCTACTATGAATAGTGCTACTAAGAACATTCCGGAACATGTTTGGAGACAGGAACACACACATTTCTGTTGGATGCACACAGGAGCTTGCTGGGGGTGGGGTGGGAGCACTGTTCAGAGGCTCTCACAGGACCCTGAAGGAAGACCGCCATGCTGCTGGGGCTATGATGGAAGCCCTGGTGTTGGGAGAGCAGCCGAGGAGCATCCTGGGCCAGGACCCAACACCTCCCTCCTCTCCACCCGGGAACGCTACCAGGAGCCCCAGCTATTCCATTCCAGGGCCAGGTGGCCTCTGGGCACACAGGGCCTGGGCACTCACTACCTGTCTGGGGTAAGTTGACTTCCAAGGAGCTGGGGGTGACAATTTTGATGGGAGATGAATAATTAACAGTGGTTGAAACAGACTGAATTTGCGGTCCCCCTTCTGAATTGGGAACAGTTCAGTCCTCCTGCTGAGAAGGAGGGCTGAAGGGCTTCAACCCTAACCCTGAAAGACACCAAAGAAGCTGATCATGGAGCTCGCCCCTGCCCTGGCCTGTCCAGCACACGCTGACCGAGTCTGCATACGCTCTGTCTGTCCTGCATACGAGTCTGTCCTGCCTTTGGTCTCACTTCCTGCCTCGCCTCTTCTCCTTTAAAAGTTCTGCTCACCTTCAGGGATTTCGAAGACTGAATATTTTGAAATGATAAGTATTTCTCTATCTTCCTTCAAATCTGGCTTTGAGTAAAATCCATTTTGCCACCAATTTGACTCTGGATATTCCTGGAGCAGCAAGCGTTGTAGTCTAGACTTTTCTTCTTCCTCCCCAGGTCAATAATGGTGCTACCAGGTAACAATGAAAACAGAAGCCAGATGCCAGTGGCTTGGGGTCTGCTAGGTGACCGCCATGTGACCTTGCAGTGTGGGGAGCCCTTTCCGGGCTCCATCCTAGCTCCTGGTGGCTCTGGGACTGCAGGCGGAAGTCTCTTTAGAGGAGCCCACAGTCCCAAACTTGTGTGCACGTTGGAACCCTCTGGGGAGCTTCCAAGAGATAACACCTAGGGCCACTCCAAAGGTTGGGATTTATTGGTGTGCTTGGATTTCGTAAAGCTCCCAGGTGTGTTAGAGTCCACCAGAAAAGCAGGATCACACATGTGTAGAGTGTGCGTGGGTAGGCATATGTACACGTGTCATGGATGTGCAGGGTGAACACAGCAGGTATGTAAGTAGCGTGCTCACGTGGTATGTGGAGGGTGTAGACGGTGTGTGCCCCTGTGCACATGAGCTGTGTAGCTGAGGGTGCTGTTGTGGGGTTTGGGTCTGGGCAGTTGTGGAAGCTGGTTAAACCGCCCCTGGAAGGCTGTTATTTCCACGCCTGGGGCTGGAGCTTGAAGTCCTCAGGACTGGTGGGTGGGAAGGAGATGGATGTTAGGCAGAGGTTGGTGCACCTAGCAGCAGAGTTGGTCCCTCCCAGAAGCTGTGAGCAGCACCCTGGCTAGGGGTGCCCCTGGGAGGGGGAGGGGGACGAGTAACTGGAACACACTGAGCACCTGCGGGGTACTAGGTGTTTCATCCTGAGGGTTATGGACTGTCCCCACCTTACAGATGTGGACATCAAGGCTGGGCAGGCCACGTGACTGCACTCCAGGGCCTTTCCCAGCTGCCTCTGGCTCAGAAGCTCCTCGAGGGAGGACTCTAGCCTGTGTTGCGAGTCACTGGGTCCCTGGAATCTGCCTTGTGATTCTGTGATTCTTCTACTCAAATATCCACAGGTGAACTGGCTGTGGGAAATGATTTTGGGTCTGTGGCAGGCAGAATGGCCCCTGTGTCACTTCCTAGGATTGTAACAAAGTACTGAAGACGGTCTAGCTTAAAGGACGGAAATCTGTATTCTTAGGGCAAGTCTGAGGTCGGGCCACCAGCTGACCATGTTCTCGTGGCTTCCCGGGTGGTTCCATGCTTCCTGTGGCTCCTGGGCTGCCCGCACCCCTTGGCGTCCCTGGCTGGTTCCTCGTGTGGTTGTCCCATGTCTTGTCCCCTGTGTATCTGCGTCTTTTCTCCTTTTCTTATGGAGATACCAGTCCTGTTGGTTTAGGGTCCCATCTTACTTCGGTATGACCTTGTCTTATGACATCTACAAAGACTCTATCTCCAAATGAGGTCCCAGTTACAGGTACTGAGGTTTGGGACTAGAACACAGTGGCTCCTGACTTCTGATGGGCATAGACCCCAACAGACACACCACAGTCTGAAAACATTGCGGGTAAAAGATGCACTGAACGCCTAGCTTCCTGAACACCACAGCTCCGTGCCTGCCATGTGCCGGTGGTTTTCCCTGGTGATCTCGGGGCTGACTGGGGGCTACGGTTGCTGCTCTTGCCTGGCACCGAGACAGTGTCATACAGCAAGCAAATCACTGACTCAGGAAAAGGTCCAAGTTCAAAAAAGTAGGATTTTTACTGAACGTATATTGCTTTGACACCATTGTGAAGTCAAAGAATTATAAGTGAAAACAGTCATAAGTCAGGGACCATCTGTAGATCTTTGGGGGGGGGCACAATTCTAACTATGATACCCTCGAAAGATATCCATGTCGAAATCCTTGCAGCCTGTGAACATGTTATCGAACGTGGTAGGTGTGATTCAACCAAGGATTTTGAGATGGGCAGAGGACTGTGCATTGTCCAGGTGGGTCTAATATAATCACGAGGGTCTTATGAATAAGAGGTGGACAGGAGGAGTCAGGGAGGGGGAGGTGATGACGGAAGCAGAGGTCAGAGTGACTCTGGGCTGTGAACCAAGAGTCAGGCAAATACCAGAAGCTAGAGAAGGCAGGATTTCCCCTAGTCTCTGGAGGGGACAGGGCCTTGAGCCTCTGCCCCCAGGGTTCTACCAACAAATTTGTGTTGTTCCAAGCTACCCAGTTTGTGGAAATTTGTCAGGAAGTCACACAAAGTTGGTGACCTAGAAGGGCCAGAGCCTGGAGTCGGCAGGTGCTCCTGACCCAGTGTCAGTCTTGAGGAGTCTCTGTGTGACCCAGGGCAAGCCGCTGTCCCCTCACCGCCTAAATGAACAAGTTGAACCACATCCACCCTCAGCAGATCCTTCAGTTCCCACCAGATTGGGCCCCTTCCCTCCAGCCAGAAGAGAAGCCGCAGAGGGTCTCCAACTTTGCTTTTCTACCAAGGGAGGACATTTTTTGAAATAGGCAACCACCATCTGTTCCCCACATCGCTTCATAAAAGAATGGCCCTGGTTAGACCTCTTGGCACCAAGTCCAGCCCTTCACGTTGGACACTCTGGGAAAAACTCGCCCCACAGACATTGCTCTCATTTTTCTGTAGGACACCAAAAACTCGGTTCCAGCTGCACATCCCTGGCCCTGGACTCCCTTTCCCGGGGTTGGGGCAGAACTCCAAGGTCAATGTTCCTAAGGCAGATGCAGCGCCAGGGCCATGGACTCAACAGACGGTCCGAGACCTGTTCTCCTGGCTCCGGGGCTGGGGAGGACGGTAGGCACGGCAGGTACACGGTGGTCTTCATGCTTTATACCCCTGTGCTGGCCTGCGAGGCCACGGGCGACATGGAGCCTTCCAGAATTTACTCTTTCTTCCCAAGATCCCTCCCCTGACACTTGCTTTCAGAGTTGATGGCCCCGCCCCACACCCCCGCGCTAAGCCCTCTGTTTGCGTTGGAGCCCTAATGAAGGGCAGCGCTGTGTTCCCCTCATCTTCCCCTGTCAGGAAAGCTCCACTTCCCGTCTCCCTTGCCAAAGAATCACTTTTAATTGGATCTCAACCACAGGACGCAGGCTTTGTGACTTTTTGTTTTGACAACCTGGAAGCTCCCTCTTGCTCTGTTCTACTGCAACCAGGAGAGGTCGTGGTGCAAGTGCCCTGTGGGCAACGAGTCCCTGGCAGGAGCCAGCTGCCCGGGCTCCTGAGAGGCCGGCATTCCGCTGGGAGACTGTGAGCTGGTTGCTCAAATGAGGCAGCTTGGTGCTTCCTGGCATTGAAACTGGAAAACATGGCACATCGGGGGTTGGACCCCGTTTAGCTCGGCAGGCTTCAGCCCTGGCTTCCAAAGGGGTCACCAAATTCCAATCAATTGTCTGGGCCCATCACAAACCGACTGAGCCTGTCCCTCAGAGTGGAGTGGGCACATTGGCAGGTTTAGTTCTCTGGGTGATTTTATTGCACAGCAAGTCTGAGACCGAGGCTGCAGAGACACCTGTACGGACATTCACCCTGATGGCCAGGACGGGTGGGCCGGCTCCCAGGCCTGCTGCTCTAGGCCCAGTGGGAAGAGACCTCTGGGTCTCTGAGGAGAGCTGGGGGAAGCAGCATCTGAGCCCAAGCCTGGTTATTTACCCAAGTCTTAACTGGCTCTTGATCTCCCTGGTTAATAAAAAGCGCCATGGAAACGGTGACATCAGGGGAGCGTGGCCACGCACACCTTTCCTGGGCAGCACAAATACACCTGGCTTATTAAGGTGCGGGCGACCTTGGGTGAGTCCCTTCCCCACCTGGGCTTTGAGCTCAGCCTTTTTTCTTTTAAACAGAAGGACTCAGAGAGGGAAGGGTGTCAGCAGAAGGGCCCGGACAGGGGAGGCGGGAACCGGACCTCCTCTGGACACCGTGTACCTCTGAGCTGTGGGTTCTAGGGTCCCTGTCTCAAACTGCTCAGCAAGGAAGCCCTGAGCCTGGGATTCTATGGGCCGAGGAGTGTGGGTGGGACGTGGGGGTGGGGGCCTCGGGGTGCCCTGGGGCTGGAGGGTTGAGCAGTCCAGGGCCTACCCCAGCAGGGTGTTTGCACTCTGCTCCTGGGCAGCAGCCCCAGCAGTCAGAGTGGGGCCAATGTATCTTCCTCTTTGAGGTGACCTGATTAGGGTGGGGGCCTTGCTGGGGAAACTGAGGCCTGACCACCAACAGGCAAGCGTGTGCCTGCAGCTGGTGCTCCCAGTTTGCCCCAGGGAGGGCTGCACCAGCAGCAAGGCACGCCCAGGTCAAGACTAAGTTCAGGCCCTGAGGTCAGTTCAGGGACTTCCGCGTGCCCCCAGGCATGCAGCCGTCCTCCTGAGCCCTTGCTGCTGTGGCACTTCCCATTCCTCTCTGTCCTGTTTAGGACTGTTCTCCTGGGCCTTGGAGTGTTCTCTTTGGGACGGTGAGCTCTACAAGAAGAGCGGCCCTCAGGAATACTGTCCCCATCTCCAATCCAGGCAGCCTGGAAAGACGGGGACCGAGCAGGAGGTGGGCTCTGAGAGCTGAGTCCCATCCTGGTTCAGAGGAGGCCAGCCTGAGCCTCTTGCCATTCATCTTCAGACAGAGGCCACCTCCCTGTAGGAAGGGCTGCACGCTGTCCCCGTCCCTTCCTCATCTTCCCTGGCTGGCTCCTTAGCCTCCCCACAGTGCTGGGTGATCCTGGGAGTGAGCTCCAGCCGCTGACGGCGAGGGGAGGGAGCGAGCAGTTCCTTGTTAAGAAGCTGGCCCTGTGCCTGTGCCTGGCCGTCCCAGGCTGGAAAGAGCTGGGGCCCCTCCCTGAGCCACTGCTCTGAGAAGGGCTCCTGTGACTGGGAGCACCTGCTGTGGCCAGGTCTGAGTGAGAAGTAAACCTCTGTGGATGCTGAGCCTGAGACAGCCTGGGTCAGTTTGCACAGAGCTTGGGTGATCCTAACTAGTCACGGTTCTTGCCCCTGGAGGGAGAAGAAAGAAAGGGAATAAGGCCCAGCATGCTCGGCACTTCCTGCAAACGCTTCCCAGAGGTTGCTTCTTCTTCTTCCCATCCCTGGTTTGTATTTCATAAGGAGATTTAAATTTTGAACATTATACTGCAGAGAACTAACACTGGGTTATTTTCATCAGAATTACCAAATTTTCAGGCCTCCTTCCCCAAACCTCAAACCAGAAATACTACTTTTTCCTGCTCCAAGGCCAGCCAAGTGGAAAAGCAGGTTGCAGGGGACAAGCCAAAGGAACTGGCTGTTCAGGCTGGAGGAGGCCGTGAGCCTCTAACCTCTGTGCACTCGGGCTCCCGGGCTCCAGGCAGGCTCTGGGGCTGCCAAGGAAGTGCCTCTGGCTGAAATCCAGGAAGCACTTTGGAAGTCAGGGCCGCCTTGGGAGGTGCTGCTCATGTATGCGCTGGCAGCCCTGAAGAGCCCTGGGAACGCGGGCGGGACCGGGCAGGCCAGGTGGCTCCTATGCACAAGTGTCCACCTGTCCAGGAGGACAATCCTGCCTTCCTTGTGGGGAGGTGGAAGGAGTGTAACTGGGATGGTGCTCTGCAAACAGCAGAGCTCTGAACAAATATCCTCGCACTTCGCCCGGGAAGCCCAGGGTGCAGCTTAACCAGAGCTGGGGGCCCCTGGGGTGGGGCCAGGCTGAGGCCAAGCAGGGTGCCCTGGCCTGCAATGGGGGCTAAGGGGCCACTGCACCTGGAGCTCCCCCGGCACCTCAAAGCACCAGGGCTGGATAGGCCATTGTCCCACGGGAGCTCCCTTCCAGGGGGAAGGGAGGGGTCAGACCCAGGCAAGGAGAGCCAGGCCAGCAGGGAGGGCCAGTGCTGGGGGAGGAGAGCAGAGCAAACCAAGGTTGAGAGTGTGCAAATGAGTGAGCTTGTGTGTGTATGAGTGAGTAGGGATGAGTGTGAGTGAGTATGGGTGAGAATTTGTAGGCATATGAGAGTATTGAATGTGTTGGGTATATGCATGCTTGAGAGTGTGTGTGAGAGTATGAGTATTGGTGAGTGTGTGTGTTGTGTGCATGAGTATGTTACAAGTGTGCATGTGTATGTGAGTGCTGTGTGTGTGCATATTCATGATTGTGCGAGTGTTGTGCATGTAATGTTTGTGTGTGTGCATGTGTGTATGAGTGAGAGCGTGCTATGTGTATGAACATTTGTGAGTGGGTATGAGTGTGTGTAGGTGTGAGTGTGTGTGTATCTGTGTGTCTGTGGCACTGCAGTATTCAATGCCTGCAGGCCTCAAGGTGACGCTGTGATTCCCGTGGGGATGTGAGGAGTGGGAAAGAAGAAGCTGGGATCTGAGTTCCTTGTTGGGGCAGCCCTGCCACCCTAGAAGGCCACCCTGGAAGGCCACCCTAGAAGGCCCTGCTCGTGGCTTTGGCCCCTCCTTTAATGCCAGCCGGGCTCTAGCCAGGAGGAAGAGCAGTGACGGAGGTGACCCTGCCACAGGGGCCCAAGCCCGAGCTGCGCCAGGAGGAAAGGCGTCTAGCCTGTGGTCTCCAGGAACCGTCAGGCGTAGATGACCACAGATCTCGGCCTTGACTTTGGATGCCCTGATCAGGAGCATCCGGGGAGCACAGGTGGCAGAGGCTGAAGGGGCCTCACGTGGATGGTGGCCATGGGTGGGAGGGGGCTCCTAAGGAAGGAAGGTCTGGGCTGAGGGGCCAGGTGCAGGAGGTCCTGTGGGTGGGAGGGGCTCAGGGACCCAGCCAGCAGGGCTTCTCTTGGGCTGCCCAGAGGCGGAGCATGGTCCCTCTTGTCCTGCCCCACTGGGTCTTTTGGAAAGAGCTTCTCCTGTGGCCCTCGTGTTCTTGCTGCTGGGGAAGATGGGACTCGCCCACCCAGTCATCCTCGGGGCTGGAAAGAGGCTGTGCCTTCCCCAAGCCATGGACTGTGAGCGGCCTCGCTGCAGAGGACCAGAAGGGGGAACCACAGGCTGGCCCTAGGTTCAAGGGACAGTCGTCCCCACAGGGGGTCAGTGGGCCACGCCCTGCAGGCAGAGGAGAGGTCGCTCTGGGTTAGTCACCTCAGGGAGGATTCCCTGACCCAGCCAGCAGGGTCTACTGACCTCACCTCACCGAACTCTCCAGGTGGGCTTTCCCTCTGCTGGGCTCTAAGCCAACCCTCCCTACTTTCCAGGGACATCCTTCAGGGAGGTTGTGGTTGTAGAGCCAGGATCTGGCTGAAGTTGGGCAGATGAGGTCCTAATCCCCTCTTGGCCTTAGAGCTGTTGATTCAACTCTGGGGTCTTCGTTTCCTTCGCTGAAAGTGGAGAACGTAATACCCACTCTTTGGACGAAGGTCAAGTGGGTCAGCGAACAGGGCTGTGGGCCCCTCCCTGGAGTGTGGGAACTGCTCAGTAGTCACAGTGTCTGGGGGCTTTAGCTTGGACTGGGCTCCAGAGGTCCGGTTCTGGTTTTGGTGCTGCTGTGGGACAGCAGGCAAGTCCTTCAACTTCTTGGGGTCTCAAGTTTCCTCCTCCATAATTGGGAGGGGCCAGGCCTCTTCCACCTGAAGTGTTGTTGGGAATGGCCAGGTGGACACCAGGCATGACTGACATCTCTGCTCTGAGCCACCAGGTGGAATTTCCCAAGGGTTCCTCACTAGCTCACTGCCCACAGAAATGTCCTCCCCGGTCATCCTAGGACCATCCCTGAAGGGTGGGTTCATCCCCCATAACTCCTTCTGTGATTCCCAGCCTGCTGCACTCTGGTCATGGGGCACAGGGCACTGAACGAGCCACTGCTAGGACTGGTCTTCTAGCACATGACCCCAAGTCTCAGAAGGTTCTGGTTTATGTCTATTACCAAGTCAACAAGAGAGTGCCCTTTTTCCTTCTCAAAAGGACCCTGTTTTGATGCTCAATTCCAGGGCCTAAAACAAAGTCCACCTTGGTTTCTATTATATCTCAGCTGCTCTGAAGGCTTCTGCCTAAATGAAGGGTCACAGGACACCCTGTAGTCTTGGGGACAGGGCTGGGAAAGGGGAGGAGGGTGCTACTCCCAGGAGGTCAGCTGCCCCTTGTTCTCTGCCTCAGACCGAGTCCCCCAGTCTGGCTTTTCCCAGTACAAGCAGCACTACCCTCCCATCTGCCCTGGCACCTGCCCCGTCCCTCCTGCCTCCCCAGGGCTCCCTGCGTCTCTGATCCCCTGCTCCTGCTCCCCGTTGCCACCCAGGAGTCACAGCCAGCTAGCTCAGGAGATGGCCCTTCCTCTGGATGTCCTTCAGGGGCAGCCCAGCCCAGGGATAGACCAACGGGGCCTGACCTGCCTGCTCCCACTGGAGGACACAGCCTCACCTAGCCCCCCTCCCTCGCCGTCTGACTTGGGGACCTGGACTCATCTCCGTCATAGGCAGAGCAGGACCCACAACCAGCTTAGCCAGACATGGCTAGGTGCCTCCCACTCCTCTTCAGCCACCTCCGACTAACTCATGGTACCCGGAGCCCCTAGGGACTGAGATGAATGTCAGATCCACGGGAGGCGTTGGCGACAGGAGGAGGCAGCCGCTCCATCCACAGTTTAAGTCTGTTGGGAATGAGCTGGAGTGTGGGGTCCCTTCGCTGTGGAAGGCAGGTCCCAACCCAAAGAGAATAGTGTCCAGAAACATGCAGTCTTGTAGCTGAGCGTCTTGGCAGAGCTCAGGTAAGGGCTGCTGCGGTGCAGTGAGTCATGCGGGGCTCCGCAATGGGTCCCCAGGGGGCCATTGCCGGAGCATCCTGGAAAAGTACAAAGCCATTACTTACAGGGCAGCCTGACGCTGGCTTCCT